TTTTATTTTTAACTATTATTTCAATTTTTTTTACCTATTTGATAATTTTTTTACAACATATTCTCTATATTTGTTTATAAAATATATCTCAGACCATTATTGCTACTGTATTTGCAAACTGCTGTTTTGATCTTGCATTTAATAGTTCTGCTAGTTTGTCTTATGTTTCTTTTAGAATTAGGCCTTTTATTAGTGCTTCTCTTATTTTAACTTTTTTTGTCTCTGTTTTTTCAAAAAGTGTTATATATAGCACATATAAGAGAATCCAAATCTTTTCTTCTTCTTTTAATTTCTTTTATGCTATTGTAATGGTTACTTTTTGGATTCTCTTCTAAAGATTTCTTTGCCTTTTGTATACTGCCAAGTGTTCTTGCATTTCTTTTACTTTATCTTAACATATTTGGCATTTTACTGTTGTATATATATCTGACTTTCTTCTGTTGAGTTTTTTTAAGGTTGGAAGTTTATCTATTATGCACTTAATAAATGCACTTTTTTTGGCACTGCTTTTTCTTGTTGTGCAATGTATTTCCTTAGTTATCTTTAGTTTTTTCCAAAAATAAGTCCAATCATAAATTGTAATTTCTGCTTTTGACTCTAAATCTTTAATTGCTTTTATTTCTTTTTACTTTGCTCCTAGTCTTGCATTTATTACTAACTTACAAAGCAGTTTTGCTAATATGTCAGTTCATCTGTTCTAATGTTTATTTTTAGTTTTCTTGCTTTAAGTATTGTAAGGCATGCTAAGTTGTTCTTTAAATATGATTTAATTTCTGACTGCTCCTCTGTTTTCTATATATCTTTGTTAAACTTGCTCTTTGACAGTCTTGTATTATTCTTAGCCTCATTAGCTGTCCAAGACTGTCTTGTCTATTCAGTTTTGCCAAGAGGCCACTTACTTGCTTCATAATTAACTCTTGTTACAATGTTTTACAGCTGCCAAAATCTTTGTGTTCCATTATACAGTTTTCTACTATTCTTTGCAAACTGCTTTTTTGTTTTGCCAAACTTATTATTGGTTGATGTATTTCATTTAAACTTTTGTTTGACATTTTTGTTAGCTGTAACATATAGCTTAGTTTGGATATTATTATCATATTGTTTATATATACAATCTGACTCATTGTCATTTTTTTGTACTTTAGATCCCTTAAAGTTTGGCTTACTATTTCTTTTGCCTTTTTCTTTACTTGTATTTCTCACATTCTGTTGTTTAACTATATTTCCAATGAATGAAGTATTTTATGTTTTAGTTTTTCTATTATCTTGTTTTTCCCATATATTACTGCTCTTTCTTTTTTTTAGACTTTCATGTTCATTATTATTAATTTTGATTTTGATCTATTTATCTTTATATCATTTATTCTAAAAAACTCTTTTGCTATTTCTAAGATCTCTAACAATTGCTCTTTACTGCTTGTGACCCATGTTGTATCATCTGTATATGCAATTGCTGCTTGACGATATCTTGTAATATTGTTGCATTGCATATCTTTTTATAACTGTTGCTTGACTGTATACTTTAAACTTTTCTTTTTTTGAATTCTTTCTAATAATAGATCATAAAAAAGATGTCATATTAATGCAAAAATTACTTCACCTTGGTCTATCCATCTCTTGTTATTAGTTCTTTTGTTAGACTGTAGGCTGTAATTATTCTTAATTGTCTTTTGTGAAAAAGATTCAATATATATTTAATTGTTCTCTTGAGTATTTTGACTTTTTGCAATACTAGTTCAAGACTTTCAAGAAAGACTGAGTTAAATGCCTTTTTTATGTTCTGCAACAGTATCTATATTTCTTTATCTTTTTCTTTTGCTTTTTCCATTATTATGTTTAAAATCTGTACTGGTTGTTCTGTTGAGTTTTCTAAAATGCCTGCAAAGTTTGGTCCTCTAAGTATTTCTCTTTCTATAAATACTTTGGCAAGCCTTTTTGTTACTACCATTGTTACAACTTTTCTAAATGTTTTAATCAATGCTATTAGAAAGATGTTATTTAAGCTATATCTCAATTCTACATTTTTTGATATAGGGTAAACTTATGCTATCTTCCACTTTATTGGAATTTCTTTAACTTTTAAGCATAAGTCTGTAAAGCTCTGAAGACTTTTTGTATTTTTGCTCTTGCTTTCTTAATCAATATATAGCTTATATTTAAGATACCTGGAGCTGTTCTTGTCTTTAACTCTCTCAGTACTTTTTCTTATTCTTTTTCCTTAATTTTTCTTTCAACTTCTGTATATTATTTCTTTCTAATGTTTTCTCTTAGTTTATATATCTCTTTCTATTTTTCTGTCATTACTTCTAATTTGGTGTTTCTCTTTCTAAATTGCATTTTATAATGTTTTGCTATATTTGTCTTTACTTTTTCTGGTTTTGTTATTAGGTATGTCTTCTTCTCTTCTTGCTTGATAAGCCTATTAAGCATTATCTTTTTATATGGTTTATTTAAAAGGCTGGCCAGCATTTTCCCTTAGTCTGTTTTAATCATTTTGCATTTTTTGTTTATATTCTCTTCTATTCACCTTTTTTGTACTTGTTCTCAGTCTTTTTTCTTTTTTTCTTATAAAATCTTTTGCCATTCTTTCATATCTTTTATTTAGGTGTATGAACAATGTCTCTGTAATTTTGGCAGTTTTGCACCTATCTTGTTGCCTAATGCTTTTAATTATTCATTTGTCTTGCTTCATTTTTCTTTTATTACTTCTTGGTCTTTTCTTGTTTTTGCATATTTAATCTTTGTAGCTTTACAATATCTTTTTTTTGTTATGTTTTTTGACTAGTTCTTTTATTTGCCATTGTGTTATATATTGTTTTTTTTGAGTATATGCTTATTGGCTGCAATGATAATTGCTTCTTCTATGGTATCTTATATATTATTTGTTTTGTTTATATGTTTCTCTATATCTTGCACCTCTATTTGAATGTTTTTTAGACTTTTTTTTACTTCTAATCGCTTTTGCAACTCTTACATATAATTTTTCCAATTTTTTGGTTTTGCCTAATCATATAAATATAATGTTCTTAATTGTCCTTTTCTTTTAACCTCTGCTTTACTGTTTCTTTCTATTATATGTTTAATTCATATTTTTACAATTATAATTTTATAATCACTCTCTGTAATTCTTTCTGTTTTCTCAATGTTTGCCTTTTGCAAATCCAAAGCCAGTTTTTCTGATACCTTAATATAGTCAATTCTTGTTGTAGCTTTCTTGTTTGATTAAGTGTAATTTTGGCTTATTGAATGCATATTTCTATATATGTTTATGAAATCTTGTTTTCTCATCTAATTAAAGATCAGTAGTCTTTTAAAGCTTGTTGCTTGTGAGTGTTGTCTATCTAATATATTGTCTGCCATATGATTAAAGTTACTCATAATCATAACTTGTGTTTGTCTTTTCTATTTGTAACTGTCTCTACAATCTCTTGTTAGATGTTTTTCTCTATTATCTTGTTACTTGGTAGTATATAGACTTTTATCACTATTAACTCCAATTGCTTGAAGTATAGTGTGACCTCTATTATGTATTTACTTATTCTCTTAACTGCATCTACATGCCTTTTCTATTGTTTTTCTATTAGAATTCTTACACCTTATTCTTTTTTCTTATTTTCTGCCATGTTTGTCCAATATTCTATATAGTTTTTGTTTGACATAAGGTGAAGTGGGGTATTATGATGCAGATAGGTAATATGATGCACTTGTATTTTTTAATAATATACTGCGATATACCAATCAGAATTGATTAATTTTAGCACCATTCAATTCATCTTATCGAGACAAATCTAATAGTGTTAAATTTACTTTATTTGAAGCACAAGAAAATATGATATAATCAAAAATATATATATATTAATATTTTAGTTACCAGGTCCAAAAATTTAATCTGATGTCGATCCGATGCGATTAATTTAGTTAGTCAGTACAATAATTATCATTAACTTATATAATGGCAAATTTATTAATTTCTTAATGAAAATCTGATATCAAGATCAATTTTATACAAATTGTTCTTATGTGAATCATGACAATCTTGATAAAATTTTTGAAAATTAGAGTTGTATTCTTCAATTTTAAAAAACAACTTGGCAAATTTATACATTTTCAATCATTTCATAGTAAATTGATACTTATTTACTTCATCAAAACTACTACTACTTGTAGCTTCACTAAATTCTTTATCTATTGAAAGCATATAATCCATCTTTATTAGATATTTAAAATAATAAATAGCATTACCAAAACAAATAATAAAATCTTTGATTCGATTGAATAACTAATGTAAGCATAATAATCATTAATTGACTCAATGATTGTGTCTGTAATGATAAGACCTAAAAAATATTATATAGTGTTTCTTAACTGCTCATAAAGAAGTGGAAGCATATAATGCATATATTCTTTAAACTCAACTATGTTATAAGTATTCTGCTTAGCCATGTTATAAGTGTTCTGCATTAAATTATTGCAAAGATTTAGGATCAGATCATTTGCTTCTTCACTTTGTAAATCGAAATAGTACAGCATATTACAAATTTTTAATGTTTTGAAAAGTGCTTTTAATTCGATTTATATTAAAGAACATCATTTGTTTAAAATTACAAATTTGGTTAACAATCAATACAAATTGCTAACCTTACAAGTTTAGTTAGATTTAACTTAAATTTCATGATTTCATTTAACTTTATTAATATTTTATTGTTAAAATATATAATCTTGATCATGTTTCAAAAATTACAATTACATAGAACAAAAACAATCATAATTGTAACTGCAAACAATTGACCATGTTCATAATTGCATACAATCATGATCATAATCATGATTGCAGACAATCATGACTATGATCATAATTGCAAACAATCATGACAATGATCATGATTGCAGACAATCATCATAAAAATGAGTTATAAACATCAAAAGTATAAAAGTTGCTGTAATTTTGTTCAAAAATAAAAAATAAAAAATAAGTAAAAAAAAAACCTCTCTTCAAAAAAATGACAAAACGTAATATAAACTCCAATTCCTTAAAAACCAAAAAAGTTACTCGAGATACACATATAAGAGCTATCAAGTTAGCTTTTAAAGCACTTGCTAGTCCCAAACCACCTAGTATATGAGCAGCTGCATCAAGTTTTGGTGTTGCAGAAGCAACTTTAAGGCATGCAATGAAAAAAGATTGTTTATCTAACCACTCTGGTTCTATAATGGTCTTGAGTAGCTATGAAGAAGAACAATTAGTAGGCTATTGCAAAAACATGCAAAGCCTAGGATTTGGTCTTACAAGATTGGGAGTAAACACTTGCATGATGAGTATTGTGAAGAGTGATGGTCGTGAACATCTTTTTAAAGATGATGGTTCTGGCAAGACCTGGTGGGCACATTTTATAAAAGATTATTCTGATCTATCTTTTCAAATTCATCAAGCCTTGTTAGAGGCACATGCTCAAAGAGTGAATTCAATTATTATTAAAGATCATTTTGATAAATTATATAAAATAATCCAAAATAATTCACTTACTCCAGACTGTATTTAAAATATAGATGAAACCAGCTTCATTATAGCTCCTAAGGTTCAAAAAGTTCTTGTAGAAAAAGGCACCCATCAAGTTCATAAGGTTGCACATAGTAACTCTCACAATCATATTTCAGTTGCATCAACAACTTTAGCTGCTAGTGATTATATCCCTCTATTAATTATATACAAGAGTGTTTGTGCAATTTCTGGTTTGTTAAATGGCACTCCATCTGGTATGGTTATAGGCTTTACTGACTCAAAATATATGTGTAAAGAACTCTTCCAAATGTATATTGAACATTTCATAAGTTCTATTCCTCCTTGTCGTCCTGTTCTTTTAATGCTTAACAGTCATAGCAGTCATATAAATTATATGAGTATTAATTTTTGTCATAAAAATGGAATTTTACTATATGCATTGCCACTTCATACAACACATATTCTTCAGCCATCAGGACTTTCTTTCACCAAACTTAAAACCAAATATAGTAAAAATTGTAATCAACTTCATAATATAACTGGTAAATTGGTAACTAAGTACATATTTGCTAAAATGCTTAGTCCTGTGTTTATCAAGACTTATACCCTCACAACGATATCTAATGCTTTTAGAACTACAGGCATTTGGCCTTTTAATCCTAATGCTATTAGCCTTCATTGTCTCAATTCCTCTTTAACTATTAAATGAATTGATATCTTACTTTTATCTTCTCAACAAAATAATAATTCTTCTACATCGTTTTTTTCTACATTGTCTTCTTCCACACTATCTTTTTCTACACCATCTTCATCTACACCATCTTTTTCTATACTGTCTTCTTCTACATCATCTTTTTCTACACCATCTTCTTCAAACTACTTTACACATGCTAGAGTTATTGAAGAAAACAAATTATTAGAATCAGAAATACATGCTTTAAGAAGAGAAAACATGCTACTTAAAGAAGAACTTAAGACATTTAAAAATCCTGGTCCTGTTTATTAAAACTAGCTCTTAAGTATCCTACTTTTCGAGTTTCAATACAGATCAAGAAGAAAGAGTTCAATCAGCCAAAAAAATGAAAAACTTTGCTGTTTGCCTGACTTCTTACTAATGAAGATTCTCTAAATGCTTTAAAAGAAGCAGATGAGTTAGCAAAGAGTAAAGCAGAAAATACAAAAAAAAGAAAAGAGGAAGCAGCCCAGAAATAAGCTGATTAGAAAGCTAAAAAAAAGAAAAAAAATGAAAGTGAGCGAAAAAAAGAAGAACAGTTACGTAAAAAAAGAAAAGATGATCATGTGTAGTTATGCTGTACTATACTTATCTGTATAAATTTCCATATATATCTTGTAATACTATATTGACATTAATTCAACATATCTGATGTGCACCATAATACCTCCCAAAATGTTAAAACTATAGCATTTTTTAAGTAGAGTTTAAAAAGTTAAATTTCTAATTTTTTTTTAAAAACATCGATTTTTTTTTATTAGTAGATAGTTAATTCAATAAATAATTTATTTCAATAAATTTAAAGAATAAATATATTTTTTCTGGAAATTTTTATATAAGCAACTCTTAAGTGTATCATAATATCCCACTTCACCTTATGTGTTAAAAGCCTTCTTTCTCTTTCAGTAATATTTGTTTCTATGATTTTTAATATTACAATTTTCTCTTTTTCTGTCCAGCTGAGCAGATTTTCAAGCTTCTACTATTTGGTTTTTAATTCATTATGACATGCTACTTTAATCTCTTTTTTTTCTTGTTTCTATTTCTCTTTTAATTGTTTTTGTTCTGCTTTTATGTTTTCTGCTCTTTTTTTTTTTTTTTCTAGTTTTCTTTTCTTTTTGATAAGGAGTTATACTTTTCTCAAATATTTCTCTTTCTCTTTGTAAAAAACCTTTAAGCTCCTTATTTGTTTTCATTAGTTCAACTAAGATGCCTTTAGAAGTGATTAGCTGGGCCATCTCCTATCCCTAGCTGCATTTTTATTATTAATTTGTCTTATTAAACTTTGAGTTTGTCTAATTTTTTTAAGATTTTTTGAAGCAAATCTTGCATTTGTAGTTTGAGATTATCTTCTTCTATTTGTTTTATTCAACTACCACCTTTGCTTTTGTTGTTTTCCCTTTTGGTCATTTTTCTTTTATTAATTTTCTGTTTTTTTTTTCATTTACATTGGTATATATATCTTCTGTATTTGAGTGTCTTTAATTGTTACTACCTTCTTTCTTTCTATTCCACTTTTCCTGAAAGTTTTTTCAATATAGAAGGTGATTGTTAAATCTTATTAGTTTGAATTGTGCTGTTTCTATTTCTTCTTCTAATGCAAAGATGATTATTGCTGCTCTTTTTTGATTTCTATTTCTATTAGATGATATGTAACCTGATTTTGTCTTCTTGTTTTTTAAGCAATGTAGTAGCAATACTTCTGAAGCATTGCCTAAGAGCCCTGTTAGTCTTGTTGTGAACAAGTTTTGAAGATCACATTGGATGTAATCTTTATTGTCTTTGGTTACTTTTGCCAACTTGTGAATACTGATTGGCAAAGTTTACAGAATGTTCTCATCAGTAAGTTGATCTGCTTGAACTACTGCTAATGCCTTGTGTTTAGATCTTTTAATGTGTATTATTTGTATATTCTTAAAGCTTTTACACATATGCTTGATTTCTTCTGCATTGATGTTTACAGATAAGTTTTATATTGTAAAACAGTTATATGAATTTATTTCATTTTTTGTTATAAACAAGTCTTTTTTCTTTTTATATTCTTTTTATCTGAATTAGTTTTTGTATCTTTTTTTCTCTTTTTTGTTGTTGTTTTTGACTTGTTGTTTGAGTTTTGATTCTTTGTTCCTTTTTTTTTCTAGGATAAGCTTGAGCCATACACCTTCCTTTTCTTGAATTCTGTCTATCACTGCATCTTGACTATGTTCACAATCAAGTCTACTTCTATTCAGTTGTTTTTATTCTTAAAAACTTCTTTAATTGCTTTAATATAATGGTTTTTGTTCAAGATCCATTGTATATATTTTATTCTTTTATTATTTGTTTCTTCTGGCAGAATATATGCAAGCATGTTTGCCTTAAAGGATATGTTCTTGTTATATGCTTTATTTTCTGGTAACTACTGGCTGTATTCAATTGTGTCAACAAAAATTGGATCTTTATAGATCATGTTTTCTTCTTTTAATTCTATTATTTTCTTGTCGATGTTTTCTATATTTTTCCTAACATCTTGGATTATGTTATCTCTTGGAACTTCTGTGTCCTTTTTTATTTTTTTTCCTTTTGCTTCTTCTGCTTTATTTAATTGATTATAGAAGTTTGGTTTGTGCTTAATGAAAAACTTTTTTGTTGTATATCTTGTAATGTATTAATGTTAAGCTTCTCTATTTGGCCAACAATTTCATTTATCACTTGGATTAGTTTTTCTTGAAGTGTTTCTTCTTTTGCTACATCTTGATGTCTTTTTTTTGTTATTGATGTTTGCATTTTTTCTATACTGTTCAGTTTTTCTATTCCTTCTATTTTTCCTTCTTCTTTAAATATTGTAATAAAATTTACTAAAAACTATTAAGCTGTAGCAAATTTTAAAGTAATGAGTATCGAGTAGAAGATCTTTTATTTAAAGAAAAATAAAATAAATAAAAATAACTAAAAAAATAAGAAATAAATATTTAAAATAGAATTTAAATTCAATAGCCTCCTAGATACTATAAGGATCTTTATGATAGGCTAGTTGTAGAAAAAAATTGACTAATTGTCCTTTTTGTATTAGCCAAGCTTAACAAATAGTTTACCCTTTACAAGAATTACCTATGCTAGACTTAAAAGTATCCTAAAACATTAGAAAAGGTGATTAGCAACAGATAATCAGGCTGTTTTAAACTATATATGGCTTTTTAAATTCCAATAACAAGGGGTTGGGCTCCATAGCTTAATTGTTAAGCTGCCAACTCCCCACAGACGAGGTCAACGGTTCAAGTCGGGCTGG